GAAAAAGTTTTTTTATAATTAGGAAGAATGAATTTAACTTAATTGGTTTTGAGAACTTATAAAAGGGAGGTTGATGAATTGGAGCAAGGGGAGTTAAAGAACGTGTGGGAGTTTTGAACTTTATAATTAGTTAGTTTATTTTAGCATATGTTTGTTAGATGCTATACCCTGTTTTTGCTCTGGGAAGTCAGGGGGGGTGGGGAGGGTGGGATAAGGGCTGGGGTGGGAAAAAAGTGAATAGAGAAATATTTTAACAGAAGAAAGTATCTACGATTAGAATACAGGAGTTGCTCAGATACTAAAGGAGGAGAATATTTCACAGCAAAGAAGTTAGAAAGGAGAAAGGAGGAGAGAATAGGAAGAGGAGAGGGAGGGAGAGGAATGGAAGAAAGGAGAGGAGGAAGGGAAGGGGACAGGAGTAGGAGTGAAGGTGAGAAGGGGGAAAAGAAGAGAGAAGTGGGGGAAAGGAAAAGGAAGTAGGATGAGGTAGGAGAGGAGGCAGGAGAAAGTAGGAGAGAAGAGGAGGGAGGGAAGAGAAAGAAAGGAGGAGAAGAAGAAGGTTTGTTGTGGAATGAGGGAAGAAAGAGAAGAAGAGTAACTCCGAATGTAATTAAAATGTCTTATTTTAATGCTTTCTTTAAGGGAAACATGTATATGTAGGATTTATTATGTATAAGAAAAGGTAAATTTTCTATTAAGTGGGGAGGGGGAAAGGGTGGGGGGGAGAAAATTGTTTGTATTTCTTATAGAACTTTTCAATAAAAAAAAAGAAATATTTAATGATGTATTGCAGGAGACAAATATTCCAAAATCATGGTCAGAGGTATTAATTATACTTATACACAAGGAAGATTCGGACCAACAACTAATACAAAACTACAGGCCTATCTCTCTATTGAATTCTGATTCTAAAACGTTTATGTCAATAATTGTGGAAAGACTAAAAACGATTCTGAATAAGCATATTCATCCAGACCAAAGCGGATTTTTACCAGGACGCCAAATTAAAAATAATACATGTATGATAGTTGACATATTAGAGTATTACGAAATACACTCGGAGAAGCAAATTTCACTGGTTTTCCTTGATGTACAAAAAGATTTTGATAATCTGAACTGGAAATTTATGACAAAACTGATAAGGAAAATGGAATTTGGACAAAAATTTGGAAAAATGGTTGAAAAAATATATTCAAAAGAAACAGCAAAAGTAATATTTAATCAAGACACGACAGAGGGATTTGAGATAACAAAGGGAGTAAGACAAGGTTGTCCACTCTCCCCACTTCTTTTTATCCTATCACTGGAACTACTCTTAAATAGAATTAGGGAAGATCAAGAGATTATAGGTTTGAAAATTAAGAATGGGGAGTATAAAATTCAAGCCTATGCAGACAATATGGTTTTTATAATCGAAGACCCGCTAAAATCAGGCCCTAAATTGATTAGAAAAGTAGAGGAATTCGGTGCAGTGGCAGGTTTAAAAATAAATAAAAATAAGTCAAAATTATTAACTAAAAACGTTACAAAAGAACAGGAGATAGAATTAGAAAAGACTATGGATATACAAACTACCAAAAAAAATAAAATATTTGGGAATCTGCCTGACTGCAAGAAGCTCATCAATCAAAAAAGAAAATTATGATAAATTGGTTTGGCAAATTGAGAAGGATTTGGAAAATTGGACAAAGCTGCAAATTTCATGGACAGGAAGAGTGGCAGCAATAAAAATGAGTATCTTGCCCAAAATTTTATTCCTCTTGCAGATTATACCGATTAGAATGGATTTTTTTTTTTTTATTAAACAGAATGACTACAAAATTTATTTGGCAAGGGAAGAAAGCCAGAATCAGATTAAAAGTATTACAAAATCAAAAGACAGAGGAGGAATAGCCTTCCTGGACTGGGAGACCTATTATCAAGCAGCTGACTTAGTTTGGATAAAGGAGTGGATAGAATTAGAAAATAAAAGACTCTTAATATTAGAGGGACAAGATCTTCATGTAGGGTGGCACGCATTTCTATGGGAGGAAAAACAGAACACTCATGGATATTTCAAAAGACATGTAATTAGGAACTCATTTTTAACAATTTGGAACAAAATTAAGAAACATCACTATATAGGAGTACCATCCTGGATCTCCCCAGAAGAAATATTAACACACCCAAATTTAGTAGACTGGTCCAAAATTATTAGATATAGGGATATTGTTAATGAGGGGGGAACTCTAAAAGCAAAACACAAATTGGAACAGGACTTAGGTAGGGAAATACAATGGTGGTCATACCTACAAATAAGATCAAAATATATTGAGGAGAGGAAAACGGATCAAATTAGAGTAGAACAAACTGACCTTGATAAAATTCTGTTAAAGAATGAACAAAAACTAATTAGTAAAATATACACATTTCTTTTATGGTATAAAATGGAAGAGGAAACTGTGAAAGAAACGATGATCAAATGGGCCCAAAATTTTAATTATCCGATAGAGTTGGAGAAGTGGGAAAACAAATATGAAATTAACAGTCTCAACTGCATACAAGGAAAACCAGATGAAAATGTTTCACAGATGGCATCTCCCACCAGCAAGAATAGCGAAAATGTTCCCCAGCAATTCTCCGAAATGCTGGAAGTGTAAGATTAGTTACGGAACATTCTACCACCAATGGTGGACATGCCCGGTAGCGAAAATTTTTTGGAAGAAAATTAAAAATTGGATCGAAGAAATAATCCAGAATTCAATAGAGGGAAAACCTGAACAGTTTCTATTAGGGATGTCAATAGGAAATTATACTAAAGAAACACAGTATCTCATATTACATATATTGATAGCAGCATATATTATATATGTGCAATACTGGAAGAAAGAAGAATCACCACCAGATAAGGATATAATTAAAAAGATTTTGGAATGTGCAGAACTGGATAAACTAACTAAAGAAATTCAGGGGAAAGAGGAAACCAAATACTATAAAGTGTGGAATAATTGGTATGAATGGCTGAAAAATAAGGAAATAAATTAAAGGAATGAAGAAGGGAAAGAGAAAAATGTGATATATCAATTAATATGTTAGTAGAAATGAAATATAATAGGAGAAAAAGGCTGAATAAATTAACATAATATCTGTAAATATTAATAGATAGTAAGAAATGGATCACTGTTAAGTAGCTGAAAAAGAAACTAAGATTCTTGTATATGTTGTATATGTGGTATGTATGTCTTTTAACTATGTTTAAAATAAAAAACTTAAAAAAAAAAAGAATAGTGAGGGAGGAGTCATTTTAATTCTCTTCAAACTTTTCAAGTTGTTCATCCTCTTTGCCCTCTGGAAAGCTGCCCGTCCTCCTGGGAATACAGACTATATTCCACAATTTGTCAGAGCAAGCATTTCTTCAGCATACAATTACTTACAAAATTGTCTTCCCTTTACAATGTCTAGTAGAATAAGTAAGCTTTTTCAAGGGAAGTTTTATGCATACCGGACACAGCTTCAAACTATATAATATCTCACCTTGGCAAGCTTATATGCAGATTTGAATTCCAGAACAACAATCGAATAAAATCATAAATAGCTTATCATTCAAGAGAGGAAAGGTTCTTATTATTCCAAAATAGTCAGTTATGGAAATTTATCTAGCCATCCAACATCCAAGAAGCTTACTGTGCTTATATGAAGCATAATTAAAAACTGCCAGGATACTTGTATCTCCATTCTACACCTTAAATTCTGGCTTTCCCCCAAAATTCTCAAATTACCGTATTTTTTGGAGTATAAGATGCACCTTTTTACCCCCCAAAAGGGGGTGAAAATTTAGGTGCGTCTTATACACCGAATGTAGCCCTGCCCACCCACTGGCCCCCACCCTTTGGCCTGTGCCTCGCAGCAGTTACCTTCTAGCAAGCAAACAGCAAGAAAAAACAGCCCCTTTCAGCTTCAGCACAAGTTAATTAGCACAAGTTGATTAGATCAGCCTCCCAACTCTCAGCTGATTTGCTCTCAGCTGTTTTGCGCAGGGCTCTCCTGCTTGCTGCAAAGAGTGCGAGCAGATTTTTTTCCCCTATGCTGAAAAAACGAAACTGAAAGTAAAGCAGGCTCTTTCCTGCAAAGTGACAAAATGAAGCAGAGAGAGATTTCTATTTCTTTTTCCTCACCAAAAAAGATAGGTGCAAACAATGGGAAATTTAGGGCAAAAGAGGAGAGTTCAAGATTTTAAAACACAAAAGAAAAAAAGCTCTATTTAACTAGGGAATTGTAATAATTGAGATATTATTAATTGTATATTGTGTTGAAAGCAGAAATGGTTAAGTTGTGGTTTGGAGGAATATATGGGGGAAATTATTTGGTTTATTATTGGTAAATATAATTAATTGATTTGTAAGAAATTGGATTGCATGGAAATAATTGGAATATTCATGTTCATATTGATTAATATACAAAAAAGATAGTTATAACTAATTGATTTATATAAAATGTTGAATTTGTATTAAACAATTGCAATATTAAATAATTAACCAATGTGAGGATGGATATAAAAATAGATGACAATGGGAAGGGGTATAATATAGAATAGAAGGGGAAAATTGAATTTGATTAAGATTAAAGATGAGAATGAAGGTTAATATTGTTTTTTTAAAAAAAGATAAGGAATAAATATGGCAAAAAGGAAATATAGAAATTGTAAATTTAATTGAAATGACTAAACACTGTTTAAATTTGTGAACCACCAAATACTCTGTTCAAAGAAAATACATTGTATGTTTGTATGTGTGTTTGTCTAAAAAAAAAACTTTTTTAAAAAAACAACAACCAAAAAAGGTAGGTGTGTCTTATACTCCGGTGCGTCTTATACTCCGAAAAATACATTATCTTATTCTTAAGTAGAAAATTTGTCCATTAAGAAAGATTATAAATTTCTAACTTCTAGGAGAATGCTACGTGAAGAAAAAATAGACAGCATCTTATGGTTATATAATAACTATAAACATAACAGTACTAACCATCTCCAGCTGTATCCAAGGAACGAAGATACTGCAGTTCTTCTGTGGCTTTGTCTCTTACTGCTTCTAACTCTCCTATTTTATCACTTACTTTAACAATGTTCATAAAGGCCTCATAATTGCAAATTGAATCACGAATCTGAAATATGTGAAAAAGAAAATGTTAATAAAATCATTTTTCAGATGTGAATTTTATATATAAATAAGCAGTTGCTTTTAAAGTCTGCATTTATATTAAAAAAATCTGTATCCTCTGAATAACTCAGCTTTTATTATTTCCCTTCTATCATTGTATATATTCCTTAAAGCCACAGACAATAAAAATATTTAAGGTTTACCAATGAAGCACATATGTGACTATATTTATGATTATATTCATTTTATTTGTGAATAATACAATTTAATGGCATATACATCATTCTTTACCTTTCTTTTTGGGTCAGCACTACTTTGAACAGTATTACCAATTAACTAACAATTTCAAAGAAAACAAAGTACACTATATATTATGTAAATGCTTATTGTGCATTTCATCAGCCAAGGGCCCAGGGGAGGGGTGGGGGAATGGCGGTGATTATTAGAGAAAGTCTTTGTCTGAGGGAGACCACTGTTCCTCAGATAGCCGGATGTGAGTCCCTTTTTGTGAAGTGGGGCCGTGGGTACAGATGGGTTTGCTGATTACGTACCTGGCTCCCTGCCACGTGGCAGCGACCCTGCCCAAGCTATTCGACGTCATTGCCGGGGTGGCGGTTGATACCCCCAGACTTATTGTCATGGGGGATTTCAACCTTCCGTCTGCAGGGGAAGCGTCAGAGGTGGCCCGGGAGTTCACGGCTTCCATGACGGCCATGGACCTGACCCAGTTAGTTCAAGGCACAACTCACATAGGGGGACACACTCTGGATCTGATTTTTGTCTCTGACAAAATGATCTTGAATGATCTTGGTAGAAGGGACCTAGACATCAAACCCTTGTCATGGACAGATCATTCGCTCCTTCTCTTGGACTTTCCTACTGCTTCCCCCCACCGCAGGGAGACGGAACCGACCAGATGGTTCTGTCCCAGGCGCCTGATGGACCCCGAAAGGTTCCTGACAGAGCTTGGGCCGTTTCCTGAGACTCTGGCACATGACTCGACTGAAGAGCTGGTGGCCACTTGGGAGAGTGCGGCCGCTGGAGCTTTGGACCGCGTCGTGCCTTTGCGGCCTCTGACCCGATGCCGATCTCAATTGGCTCCTTGGTTCTCTGAGGAGCTGAGAGAGATGAAGCGTCAGAAAAGATGCCTAGAGAGCATTTGGAGGACTAGTCAATCCGATTCCGACCGGACACAGGTGAGGTCTTATATCAAGACCTACCTAGTGGCGATAAAAGCGGCAAAATCTAACCATTTTTCCGCTCTTATCGCATCTGCAGAGAACTGCCCAGCCGCCCTGTTTAGGGTGACCCACTCCCTTCTTCGGGGGGGAGTGCGGGAAGATCCCTTGCAGGGTCGTGCTGACGATTTTGTGCAATTCCTGCATGACAAAGTCGCTCGGATTCGGGAGGGCTTGGACTCCGATTGGATGTGTCCATGGGAGATGAGGGCAGGTCTTGAGATTATCTGGGAGGAGTTTGATCCTGTGGCTCCCGAGGATGTGGACAGGGTTCTGGGTAAGATTAGTGCCGCCACGTGTTTATTGGATCCGTGTCCCTCCTGGTTGGTACTGGCCTCCCGGGAGGTTACACGAGGCTGGCTCCAGGGAATTATAAGTGCTTCTCTGAGTGAGGGCGCCTTTCCTGCCGCCTTGAAAGAGGTGGTAGTGAGGCCCCTCCTCAAGAAGCCTTCCCTGGACCCGGCTGAATTAGCTAACTACCGTCCAGTCTCCAACCTTCGTTTTGTGACGAAGGTTGTTGAGAGCGTGGTGGCACGACAGCTTCCCCGGCACCTGGATGAAGCTATCTATCTGGACCCGTGCCAGTCGAGCTTCAGGCAGGGGTACAGCACTGAAACGGCATTGGTCGCATTGGTGGATGATCTCTGGAGGGCTCGGGACAGGGGCTGCTCCTCTGTCCTAGTCCTATTAGATCTCTCAGCGGCTTTTGATACCATCGACCATGGTATCATGCTGCAGCGGTTGAGAGGGTTAGGAATAGAGGGCACTGTTCTGCGGTGGTTCTCCTCCTTCCTCTCCGACCGCTCGCAGTTCGTGTTGACAGGGGGGCAGAGGTCGACCTCGAGGCACCTCGCATGGGGAGTGCCGCAAGGGTCGGTCCTCTCGCCCCTTCTGTTCAACATTTATGTGAAGCCGCTGGGCGAGATCATCCGTGGTTTTGGGGTGAAGTGTCATCTGTACGCTGAAGATACTCAGCTGTACATCTCCACCCCTGACCACCCCAACGATGCCCTTGAAGTGATGTCTCGCTGTCTGGAGGCCGTGCGGGTCTGGATGGGGAGGAACAGGCTCAGACTCAACCCTTTCAAGACTGAGTGGCTGTGGCTTCCGGCGTCCCGATATAGTCAGCAGGTGCCATCGCTGACTATTGGGGGTGAATCCTTGCCCCCCACGGAGAGGGCTCGCAATCTGGGCGTCCTCCTGGACGCACGGCTGTCTTTAGAAGAGCATATGACGGCCATGGCCAGGGGGGCCTTTTATCAGGTTCGCCTGATTCGCCAGTTGCAGCCCTTTCTGGACCGGGATGCCTTGCACACGGTCACTCATGCCCTTGTCACCTCCCGGCTGGACTATTGTAATGCTCTCTACATGGGGCTCCCCTTGAAGAGCACTCGGAGGCTCCAGCTGGTCCAGAATGCGGCCGCGTGGGTGGTTATGGGCGCAACCCGTTGCGCCCACGTGACATCCCTCCTGCGCGAGCTGCACTGGCTCCCAGTGGTCTTCCGGGTGCGATTCAAGGTGCTGGTTACCACCTTTAAAGCGCTCCATAACACAGGACCCGGGTACCTTTGAGACCGACTTCTGCCACCAATAGCCTCCCACCAGCCAGTTCGCTCCCACAGAGAGGGCCTCCTCAGGGTGCCATCGGCCAAGTTATGTTGGCTGGCGACACCCAGGGGGAGGGCCTTCTCTGTGGGTGCCCCAGCCCTGTGGAATGAACTGCCCCCGGAAATACGTAAGATCTCTGACCTCCGGGTATTTCGTTGCGCACTCAAGACCCTGTTGTTCCACCAGGCTGGGCTATCAACATAACATTTTTAAATTGGGTTTTAAATTTCTGGGGTTTTAAAAATTTAGTTGAATTTATTTAATTTTAAACTATTTTAACTGATGTTATTTTGTGTTTTTAATAGGCTGTACACCACCCTGAGTCCTTCGGGAGAAGGGCGGTATAGAAATAAAATTATTATTATTATTATTATTATTATTATTATTATTATTATTATTATTTCAGTTATAGCTTATAAATGAACTGTTCCCCTAAAATTAAGGCTAAATATTGGTTATACAGATTTAAGATAATTTATCACTTGTGTCAGCAGAGAAGGCATGCTGTGGATTCTGTCAACCTGATTATTCCGGCTGGCGGGGTCTAGGAGGAGGGCCTTCTCTGCTGTGGCTTCTGTCCTTTGGAACATCTTGCTCCCTGATATGATCAAGCAATAACAGATACCACCTCCCCCCATTCCACCCTCCCCCTCCCCATGTGTCCTTAGATTTTAATATTTGATTTTAATTTATTCATGTTTTAATTGCGTAAGACATATTTTATGCCTGTAAGCCATCCAGAGTTACCCTATGGTAAAATGGGCTGCCAATAACTTTTATAAAATAATAAATAAATGTTGATAAGCTATAATGTATACATACCCCTATCAATTATTTAAAAACTGAATACATACTTTCTGAAATATAATTATTGCTATTCTTTTTTAAAAATATCTATTCCAAAAGCTCAATCCACATTTTGTTAAGAGTAGTAACTTTACAGCTAGAACAAGTTATTTATTGCAAACTTGAAAAAAGTGTTGTTTAAACAACAGCTCAGATTATTGCTGCATATAGGATTCAGACTATATATACTGTACTTTTTATATAGTATATCCTAATATACATATTTTTGCAACCCTCATCAAATTGCATGTTTTAATAAATTTCAGAACAAAAGTTGGCACATGGAATAAAATTAAACTTAACACCTTTCTGCAAATCTGACTGAATACTATTATGTACCTTTATTAATACAGTCAAAATAATAAGTTTAAAAAAAGTTAATGCACAGAATGCCTTGACAGAAAGAATTTGTTAATCTCCTTTGGCAGCTTCCAATTTTTACCATAGCCAATTAAGAATCCTTCCAGTCTTTTGTCCCGTACACACACACACACACACACACACACACACACACACACACACACCACTTCTTGTTCAGCCTTCTGGCTTAGAAGCATTATTCATGCATTGCATATTTGTTATGTCCAAAAGATTTCAATAATTTTCGATCCTGGGAAGCCATTTCAACATGTAATAGAGCCATTCCATCCTTAATGGCTTGCAAGAACCGTTTCTCTTTAAATATGTCATCTTTTTTTCTTCAAGTACATCTTGTTTTGTTATATTTAAACAGCTCAACATCAATCCAAAAAAACATGTTCAAAAATATTTATGACTTATCAAGATATTTTGTTTTTGTATGTGCATGTGAAATATCAGAAATTTCTGATAAGTAGGAGAAAAGATTTACATTTGACAATTTTCATACATATTGCTGTACAAGTCTGGACAATTATTCCAGGTCAGCTAAAATTTTTCAACATAGCGTTTTCAATTCCATGTTGTAGATATGACCAGTTTCTGAATAGTTCTACCATAATTTTGAGGGGGAAGGGGATAGATAGCTCATTCTTGTCTTTTAATAGTTTCATGTTAATTTCCATTTCTTACTAATAAAACTGCTAGCTATAAGCATTTAAGGTTATTCTCATTTGTAAGGGTGAAGCATCCCCATTTTCAAATGCTCACATAGTTGCAATTTAATACGTAGATGGTTAAATTTTTAACCATTTTAAACTTTTAACTACTCAAAAGAGAAGATCTGTGCTCTAGTGATTTGAATCCTCTCACTGTGTTACCTCCTGTTACTCACAATTGAAAGCATGCAAAATGCAAATAAATAAAGGGCCACCTCTTTGGTGCAAAGTAACAG